CTTCTTCTTTTTTCCCGCTAGAAAACAAAGGGAGGAAAACTTGTCCTCCCGAAGGCCTTTTACTCCCTTTCTTTCCTTTCTCTTCTTTTACTCCCTCTCTCTCTTAAAAAAAAAACGGTGGTTTTTCTTTTTCCAGAAAAATAATAAAAATAAACAAAGAAATTTTATCAAAACCAAACAGAAAAACGAAAACGGTGAAGTCCCGCCGACACGTGAAAACGCAACGGTGTGACAGCATTTCGACATTAATAAATTCGAGACAAGAAATTAGAAAGCTGAAAAAAAAAAAATAGCAACAGCTTTTCTGCTTATTTTTTATTACGTAACTCGGAGAAATGAAACACGTCATGTCTCCGTGGAAAATGTACAGGGACAACATAGATGGCCAAATGCGGTCATTGCCCAAAGAAGGAAGAGAGTTCGATGCGAGAGAGCCAAACACAGCTGTCTGAGGTCCTCCGTTTCAGGATGCAATGATGTCTCAAAAAACAAAAAAAAGAAAGGCAAAAAAATGGTTTCCCGCCTAAGTTCGGCCTAAACCAAGAGGGCCAAAGCATACTTTTTTAATTTGTGCGTCTCATCTTGCTACTTTTCCTTTTCTTTTCTGTCCGAGTCATATCTCTTGTCACGTGCGTATTGCGGTCATTGCTGACGTGGATCAAAGGTATTGATTGAAGTGACACTGTTCGGCCGTTGCCATCAAACACAAAGCATACGGCAGAACGGATATCACGTCAAAGAAAAAATCTACAAAGCGACCAAATCTAATAGGTTATACTCCTGTATTTTTTTTATTTTTTTTTTTAAAAGCTATATTCTTCTCTCAATTTCACCTCACACTACCTACCTACCACTACTCCTAATTGTAGGCATACGGGGAACCCCGTAGCAGCCAGAACCGTGTTCACGAGAGAACATGCGGGGGCTGCTCCGGACCTGCAAGTGGGCGATACCGGCTAGGGGACAGCCGGTAGCATCAGGGACCATGCCAACAGGACCAATCCCTGTGCCTCCCCTCAGGTCCCCTCCCCACCTGCAGGTGGGCGATACCGGCTAGGGGACAGCCGGTAGCATCAGGGACCATGCCAACAGGACCAATCCCTGTGCCTCCCCTCAGGTCCCCTCCCCTATGAACATCAGCAGACTCCGTACCATTAGATTCTCCTGTGTATAATAATCCAAACTGACCAGGATTTCCGTACCTATTAGATTCTCCGTACTCTGACAACGCAATTATAAACGTTGCTCCTTTTTCAGGAAAAAAAAAGAGAAGAAAAGGAGAAAAAAAAGGATGATTTAATCTGTGGGGCACGTCACACCACTGTCGAAAACATGATTTCGTCCTTCGGGACATCCGTTAAAATTGGAACGATACAGAGAAGATTTGCATGGCCCCTGCGCAAGGATGACACGCATAAATCGAGAAATGGTCCAAATTATAAAATTAAAAAAAAAAAAACAAAAAAAAAAACAAACAAACAAACAAACAAACATGATTTCGGACAGTTTCTGTTTTTTTTTTTTTCAACCTTTTTTTCTCAATTAATCATCGTTCAGGGCCAGGTCTTTCTACCCCTTGGTGGTAAGAGCCCCAGAGGGTAGAAGCCGGCAAGGTTTTGATGGCTCCTTTCTATTAGTGGGGAGCTGCTCCACCTGCTGGAAATCGGCTCCAGCGTCCCTTCCAATGGAAAAAATATCGGGTAACTTCTCAAAGTTCAGAGACTCTCTGGGCTATCCGCGAAAAACTGGAACCACCCTCCCACGGGCGGATTCGGAGAACTCCCCTGGGACATGGCTAAGCGAGGATCAACAAGTTATATGGAAAGTCATTGGGCCAGATCTCCCAACAGGCCTGAAGGTAGAAGAATGGGAACTCAGCAACGAGATCGCCTCCAGGGGCACAATCCAGTACGTAGGGGTACAATCACGGGACTCTACGAAAGGCTGTGTAGAAGTTCGAGTCCTCCCTTCAGAAGATAACAAGCAAGTCTCCTATTTAGGCGAGGCAGCCGAGTTTCGAGTGGAACCCGCCTTACTGGGCTGGAACCCAGCACAGCGGGCGGGAAGCCAGAGACCTCCCCTTGGTGCGGTACTCAACCAAACAAGGAGTAAGGTGCTCTCGGCAGACCAGACTCAGAACTATGAAATCTGTGGCGGAGAAGAGATTCTCTAGGATGAAAGGTCTTCAATCTGCACAAACAGAATGGACGAACTTGTGGAGAGCTCTACCAAAGATTCCCTCCCAGAGATCAGCAAGTCTGCTATGGTTACAATCACTCATGGTTGTCCCAACAGCACTGTGGTTGTCCCAGAAGGGTATGAATGTATCTATCACCTGTACGAGATGTGATTGGGGATGGGTCTTAACTCCCATCTGTGGGCGGAATGCCCACTGGCAGATGAAGTCTGGCAGTGGTGGCAGAACCAATGGGAAGCCATGACCGACAAAACCCTCCCTTGGGGAGACGAGTGGATCATCTACAGAATCCTGCCCAATTCTACGGAAAAGCTGTATGAAGGGTGGGGATATGTGGCACTAGTTTGCAGAGGCGTAATATTACAAGAAATCTGGCGTGCTCGCAATGCGAAAGTATTCAAAGGGGAGCGCTTTCCCCTGCAGCAACAACAAAGACAAATAAAGAATAATATTAGGAGCATGATCAGGGCGGATTGGAAAGGAGGGGAAGGCTGTCCAAGGAGAAACTCCTACTGGTTTCGGAAAACCTGGGCACGAGACAACAAGTTTGCAGAAGTCTCAGCGGAAGGGAAATTGTTGATTTCAAATTGGCTAAGTCCAGCTTAGATATGATTCTGTTTCAGTCAGCAATAGACAGAGATAGGCATGGATAGCTTTGAGGTGGTCGAATTCGACCCTCACAGGCCTTAGCCATACTTTCTCGCTTCAACTTGAAAGTCTGCATACCACAGCAGAATACCCAGGTTGGTTTTCTCTTTCTCTGAGGAAACAGATTGACTTAATGTGGATAGGATTGGCAAGATAGAGTGCAGACTGGGCTTGTGCAGGGTCATTAGCTTCAGGCCTCACCTGGCTCTAAAGAGCCCTTTACTCTTCCCATCGGGCAATTTGGGAATTTTTGGAGCTAATAAGATTGTTGGATAGCTCAACTTTTTACTCAGTGCCTTAAAGCTTACTTTGGAGAGCATTGAAGACAGGACGCTGGACCTGGTTTCCAGTATTTCGGATGAAAAAAAAAAACAAAAAAAAACTGGAACCTCTTCACCCTAAGGCGTCTAAAATGAGTTAGCATCTAGTCCCACTACCCACAGTACCCAGACTTGTAACACTAATTCTGAGGATCACAAATTTCCACAATTAGCTCAACAAGTGAAGACTAGCCCCTAGATAATCAACAACGTAGCCTGAGCAAGCCTATCCTATTGGAAACTGCCTTTGATTCTATCAAATAACCACTTCATGGTGGTGTGTGACCCCTCAGCGAATGTTCAATGATCCCTCTGCTCAGTGATGTTCAATGATTCAATCATTTCAATGCTCTCTCTCTCTCTCTCTCTCTCTCTCTCTCTCTCTCACACACACACACACACACACACACACACACACACATGCACACACACACAC